CTGATATTTCCGTGCGTGAGCATCTCCTACCTCTCGGTGCTGGCATTTTATTTGCCGGCGGACTCCGGCGAGAAGATTGCCCTTTGCATCAACATACTTCTCTCGCAGACAATGTTCTTCCTCCTCATATCCGAGATCATACCGTCGACGTCGCTCGCTCTACCTTTACTAGGCAAATACCTATTGTTCACCATGATCCTCGTGGGCCTCTCGGTCGTCGTGACAATCGTCATTCTAAACGTTCACTACCGTAAGCCAAGCACACACAGAATGGCGCCGTGGGTCCGGAGCGTCTTCATTAGGCGCTTGCCGAAGCTCCTGTGGATGCGCGTACCCGAAGATCTCCTAGACGACCTGGCGGCCCATAAGATCTACGGACGAAACAAGGGGACTCAACGACAGGGTGACAGGGTCCAGCAGATCAAAACACCGAGTAAATTTAGCGCGGCGGTCGCCGCGGCCGTGCAGCAGTCCTCGTCACTCCTATCGTCCCCAGAGTCCGTCAGAGGTCAGGGCTGCAACGGACTGCAGCACACAACTTCGGTACACAATCGCTTCCTCGGATACAATGGATTGCCGAGCCTCGTGTCGGGTCTCGATGAATCTATGAGCGACCTCGCCATTCGTAAGAAGTATCCGTTCGAGCTCGAGAAAGCACTGCATAACGTCATGTTTATCCAGCATCACATACAACGCCAAGACGAGTTTAATGCGGTTGGTATAAATGAGCTTTTTCTACTCTACTCTTAGTACTTGACTTTCACTTACCGCGCCCAATTACTTTCTAACTCAGGCCTGAGCTCATGCATTTTTATCGGCTTGCCTACTAAATCCATCCCAATTTTTCCATCAACTTCTTAAGTAATTATATATGTTACAAGAACAAAACATTCAAATTCATTCTTATTTAACGCAGAAATTTTATGGCTTTTAGCACTTTGCTAAATGTATTTTTCAAACATCAATTCAGCGATAATAATAATCAATATTTATTATAACGGCCACTATTATAAGTCCATTGCGATGCATCAAATAGTGCATTAAAATTCAGGGGAGTGAAATTGTTTTTAGAATGAACTATAATTTTAAGCGAATAATTTATAAATATAAGCCTTACAAGACAATACACAATGATTCATAGCGGGTAATAACAATTCATGTAGAACAATAGTGCATAATTCAACTTTAATTATGCTGGCATACTCATGATATATACTCATCTGAATAATGCGTTTAGAACATTGAAATTGGTAAAAGCTAATTACGTTCATCCGTATCTATTATAAATTATTTAAGTTTTATTTTCTTTAATAAAACTCCCGAAACTACGGAACTATTGCACTAAAGTCTTAATAAGTCTCACTAAGTCTCGCTTAGATTAATTACCTTTTTAAGCATGTGAAACATGCAAAACAAGTTCTAAATGATCATTCATGGAACTTGACACGGTAATAGGTCGTAGTACATAATATGATGCGCTTATAAAGTACAACATTATAATAATAGTTAGTAATATATAACTCTTAAATAAGTCCGATATAATAGCACGTATTTAAAGAACTTTAAATATCATGGGTTATATAATTTAACAAATTTCGTTGTTTTTTAAAAGGAAAAACTATCATAAATTCTGAAATATGTATATATTTCATAATTATCTTCGTTTGAACAAAATGTATTAATGCAAATATATTCATTGAAACTCTAAATACTACGATTTTAGTGCTTAAGCATTAAGGTAAATGAAGATTAAATCTTACCCGTTCGAAATATTTACTAAATAATACAATATGTCGAATGAAATTCATGTTATTCCAAAATCGTACGGACGGGGTGCAGCCTCGATCGATTATAATATTTTATTAAACCTTTGATTAAAATTTAACTGAAATTATTTTTATTATTAAAAAATTTATTATTTAAAGATATAATTAAAGAGATAACCACTGACTACATTGGCAATTTTAAATTGATTAATTTAGGAAGTATGTATTATAGAAAAAGTAATAATTGAAATACTAATCTTTAATATTATTCATTACTATTAAAGGAAAATGAATGTTGATATTGATTTTCCAATTATTAATATAGAATACGGAATAAAGATTGTCTGGCTTTAGTTGAAAGTTTTATTTTGTTTTTAATTAGTTTTTGAATAATTGTACCAATAAGTTTGTCAAAAAAACTAAACATTTTTTTTTTTTTTTTTTTTTTTGATAAATAATCAGTTTATGTTTTGCATACGAAAATTATCACAAACATATACAAAATTTGAGCAAATTTTACAAAAACTCTAAAAACGATCAAAATTTTACTTGCCACGATCGATTAACTTATTATATATCTATATATAAATAAACTATTTTACAAATATTTTATAAATTTTATATTATATAAAAATTAATTAAAGAATAAGCAATAAAATTGTTTATTATTCATATAATAATATTATTAATGCGAATAAAATACTTGATAATATTTGTTGGTAGGAAAATAAAATACGCAAGTCCCTTAAAGGAATGGCAATTAATAATTAAGGAAATTTTAATGGCAGGAGGACCAAGACTGGGGCTTCGTTGCAATGGTATTAGATCGGCTCTTCCTCTGGATCTTTGCCATCGCTTCTCTGGTCGGGACATTCACGATTCTCTGTGAAGCTCCGGCGCTCTACGACGACACTAAGCCTATCGACATGGAATTATCCTTGGTTGCGCGGCAAATGTTCCTGCCAAACAATCAACTTGACAATTTGATACAGCATTAGAAGGATTTTCTCAACTACCCCACTCCTCCTAATCCACATGATCCCTCCTACTTTCGAATTGATTTTGAATTTTATTTAGTTTGGCGTAAGCTTCGTGTACATTTAATTAACAAACCAACAATAGTTGTATGACTCGTAGAAAAATAATTGCATTATTGATCTCAAATTAAAGCTGCCGATATGCACGAAAAGACTTTATTGTACCTTAATTGATACGCTTACCGTTTGGTATGTGACTATTAACATTTACAATATATATATATATATATATATATATATATATATATACCATAATACAATCGATTGTTGAAAATCCCGACTTCATGAAATTGAAAGTTCAGTTTTAAAATATTGAGATGAATATTCGAACAATTTGTCAAGATTACTTAAAGGCGTTTAAGCATTGTCTATTCAATCAATATTCAAACTATGTACATAAGCATTTTTTACAAAAGTTTATTAGCTCTTTTAGTCACGAACCTTTTCACATTCATACTATATCAAGGAAACTATATAATGCATTAATGATTGGAAAACCAATGTTATTCAATATTATTAAAGAATATTTCAGAAAAAGATTTTTAAGATAAATCTATTAGTTTGCGTATTGTTAAAATTAAAATTTAAGTTCTTAATAAATTTATCCATAATTACGTTAATATATTGTACATAAATGTTTCAAAGATTTTGTAAATCTATCTTGAGCGAATTTAATAAATATGTACCTTTTAGTAAATGATTATTATTTAAAAATATCGTCAGAAACAGTTGTTATTTACCATTACCGGTAATCTAAACAATCAATTACTAATTTTAATAGTTAAAGGAAAGTTAAATTACTATGTCCTCGTAGTTTTCCATTAATAATACTACCTTCGATATTGTATTCTACGACGATGATATAATTAACAAATTAAATAAAAATATTAATTAACAATAAATCACATCTAATACTATCAGAAATTCCAATCAAGTGAAGTTTATCGACATAGATTCGAATATACGACCGCCTCATAGAGGTATCAAAGGAAAATTGACACACATCCGAACAAGGACAACGATGACGATGACTCGACGACGATGGCTCGTCCTCACACACGAGTATCTTTATTATTGCAGAAATTGCTACAATAGAAATATTCTGCTCGATAAATTACGATTACTAATAATTTTCTTACGAGTATGCAGAACGTGGTGAGCAAATACTGAGTTCTATGAGCGAAGTCCTCCCAGGAATTTGTGATCCAAATTGAAGCTAAATTTATCATATGTCTACACATGATTTTACTCTTCTTCTTTTTCAACTACCACCTGAAAAAGAATTCTCACTGAAAAAACAAAAATAATATGAATATTTCTACAATATTATAATATTAAGAAACAATTAAGTTATCCGAATAACAATTTTGATCATTTATTGTTTATTACGAAAACAGTCTATGTAACAATAATTACAAAAATTTTATTACTAAAGCTTTATATAAATGATAAACAAAAAATATTAAATTATTTTAGCACGTAATGTGATGTCACACAAAATGTAACATAGAGAATTTATATTCTAATATTTTAATTAAGCAATGAAAATATTAATAACGATAAAAGAAATTTTTTCTTTGTGACATTTAGCTACTTGACAAAATATATTAATACTTAATACACATAAAAATTACAAATGAAAATTTAAATAACTATAAATAAAAAGAATGATTTTTTATTGAAAAAAAAATATGAGCTTCCTTACATTTGCGACACTAACATCCCAAATTTCCAATATAATTATTTTTCTAACGTTCTTCTTCTATCTTTTATAACGGATTCTTAATCGCTGTACAGACTTTTAAACTTCAATACAGACATAAAATTATACAATATTTAAAGTTCAATATTTTAAAAATATAAATGAAAATTCTTTAATAAATTTTAATTACACATTGTAAAATAAAACTGCATTTATATATTAATTTTACATAACTATTTATGTGTCGATACTTTGCTATTGCTTATTATTTAAGCTATTGACATTATGGCTTACAACAATTAAACATTATTTTTTTTTCTAAATTGTCTCTATTTAATTCTATTAAATAACTTCTTTTCAATTAATTAATTGAAATTGGACTGATAATTTAATATTATAGAAAATTTATATTATTAAAATGTGGAACTTGTACAGAAGCTTTGAAATATAGTAATACATGAAAACCTATAATACAGATTTATAAAATTAAAAAAAAAATGTTTCATAAAATATAAAACAACAATAACAACTAAGCATTAATATACTTAAGAAAACAATCAGTAACACTAATAGACCAACAATACTTAATTATTTTGATTCAATACCTATAATTTTTAATTAGGCTGAAATATTTTATACTACATTTTTAATATCTTAATATATAAATTAAGCAATAGCTTAAAAATGTATTTACACCTAATAAAATTTTAAAATAATATTCTTAGAAAATCATTGTAATAGTATTTAATAATAATATATAAATGAACACAATAAAAGAGAAGCAAAAATTCTTAATAGAAATATAGCCATTCTATGCATATAATAAACTATTCGATATTGTTTTATCGTGCATTTAAATACATATAAATTTAAAATTCCAACTGGAAGTGTAAAATACAATCGTAAGGATTCATGGCGAAAAATGAATATGCACCTTTTATTATTAAATAATGATTCAATTATTTTTATTATAATTATATAGACAACACATTTTCAATATAAAAAATTTCAGATTTATAACTACATAATAAAACGTACGCTGAAATGCAGCGATGAGCTCTACTCATCATTACCTCACGAAATTACCATTATAAAATTATTATTATTATAATAAATGTACAATTAAAATTATTAATCGTGTTTAATGTTGTAAAAAAAATCTCCGAAAAAAAAATCTTGAATTATTCATTTTTATTTCATGAAAAATTACCGCATAAAGTTATTCTTTTCTTCAGTTCATTCTTTCAATTTGAGCGAGAAAGATCTCCTTAACAGTATTTTTAGCTGACGAAGGTTCATCTGTTAAAAATATACGTAAATAATCGACATGTTTTCCACAATTATTCAGTTAGTCACTTACAATATCTATTACGGTACTTGGCAATTGAGCAGTTCAATCTGATAATATCTTAACAACACATTACTGAAGAAATCTAGTGTTAATGCGAAATTGATAGCTGCTTATTGTGAAACAAAATACTGATGAGATAGTTGTATATCCCTATTTTAGCAGCGATTAGGAAATGAAAATATGAGAAAATACAAAATGATTAACTCTCTTGGAATGATATAAAAGTTTGATATACAGATAACGAAGAAGAGCTAAAAAAAAAAGGTATAATAGTAGGAAGTACAATGGAAATTGAGTTGCCTTATTCTGAACTAATTACAGCTAAAGCTCGATCGCAGTGAATTAAAAAAAATTACAATGAATCGGTCCAAGATGAATCAAATCAGGTCCAAGATGATTTCTTCGTACGTTTTAAGACTTTGAGTATATATGGACCAGTAGCGTACTCTCTTTGAGGTACATCATCGCACACTTAAACTCAATCACGTGGAAAAGTCGGAAAAGTCAATCAGCCCTTCCACGTACCTATGAACGCTTTACAATTTGGACAAACATGGTGAACGCTCAAAAAGGCGTTTAGACAGTAGGGTAAACACGAACAGAAACAGCACCTGGTAACATTAAATGATGATGTAAGATTTTACGTATGTATAATAATAATAATAATAATAATAATAATAATAATAATAATAATAATCTTAAGCCTATGAAAATGTTGATGATATTTCTTTTAAGCACCTCAATAAGTTATATTCCATGGGTATGAAAATTTTATTATTGTTTTAGAAACTTAATTTTGAACTGAATCTTCAATTCGATTATAATTGTGAATTGTTAATTGTAAATGATAAGATAATTTTTGTACGTGTGCATTGAGAATGAATTTGTCTAAATCTGTATAAAATACTAAGTGTGTAAAGAGAGGAATTGAGATCATTAAAATGTTAATCGTATTATACGCGATTATCAAAGTTAATCTTATAAAAATTTTATGTTTGAACATATTTTCTAATAAGAGCTAACAATAGCCAATTGTTTGTTTGGCATATAATCATAATAAAATACTACATTTTACAAGCATTACCATAATAAATTCGTAATTTTTAATAAGGAATGTTTGTTGAGCCTGCGAGTCTCAAAAGCACACTATAAAATATCACTGCAAGAGTTACTTATAAATGCTAATGTGATAAAAGTCGATAACATCAACGTACCCAGCCATACAGAGGAGAACACAGCATAAATGAGCAATCGGCTGGTGTTCCGACACCGTGTTCGTTTTAACATCCGCGTGACAGGAGGGACAGGTTATTTTGACTGAATTAGATGCCAATAAGGGGGTCACATGCTCATTGGTAACTCGCACCTCCAGCGGCTGTGTTGCATTTGTCCTTTGCTGTCTCGTAACCAGTATTTGTGTTGTTGGTGCCAGAACTTTAATGAAACATTTTTCTTTTATGACATATACGATACCGAGTATCAGATTAAATTTCATTTGGTCAGCAACTTAAAATATAACAGTTTACGGCTACACAACGCGTAAAGTAGCTCTCAACCCAATTATGTAGCACATACGGGCACGTCTCTTAAAACTCGAATTCTACCCAAACATTTCTTACGTTATTCTGCTTCGCTACCCTCTCCCCTTATTACTTATTATCAAATAAATGTTCGATAAACGCGTAGAACGCTCAAATCTACCTACCGGATGTTATCACTACTCGCCCGAGGCAAAGTCCGAGTCCACGAATTTGGTAAGACCGCAAGTAGTGCATAAAATAATAAAAAGCGTATTACTTGGGGTGGGCATGGGCATCGAATTATCTGCAATTGGATAGGGCGGCGCTCTAGGTGCGTCTAGAATTGTGGTTATCGTCGGTACCGTCGGCAAGCCAATGGCCTCTTCGTATGAGGGGGGTGCCGAAGGCAATGGACCTGTCACTGTCATCCCACTGGACGAGCTTCTCATTTGTCCTTTATTCATTTTGCGCCTCTTTCACATACACTTCTCCTCCTGAAATCATATGTAAAAAATGCAAAATTTCAACACATCTAATGTATTATCGAGTTTTATGAAGTCTTAGTTAAACTAAACAGTCACAAGCGATCGCACGTAATTTATGGAGAAAATTTGCAAAATGTTTTGTGGCGGGCAATACAAAATTTTCTAAAATTTTCTAAAATTTTTCATGACTTTATAATGAGAATATTAGATATAATTTTATTCCCTTTCTTTTACTAAACATATTTTTATCTTCGAAACACATGGGATACGTAATTTTTACCTCTTCTTCTCTGTACAAAAAAACCTTCCATAAACATGCTGCCCTATAAAATATATAATCCACTTGTACGTGCATGCGCATACGTTTTAATCTCAATAATAAAATGTAAATGTTTAAAATAAAAGTGTAAAAATTTTACTGTTGATAAAATTTGGAAATTTCGTATTTCACGGAATTATCATTAAAATTTAAGATACAAAATTAACTAAAATTAAAAAACAGTTAACTGAAAATATTGATATACATTTAATTTCATAAATACTTAAGAATGAAAGACAATATATTTTCCATTTATCTTTTTTTAATTTGTTTTATGCTCAATATTTATTACGTATTTATGAAAAGTAAACATACTAATCATTTCGTAGCAGCAGCAACAACAACAACACGATGACGATAACGATAACGATAAAGATAATAGTAGTGATGATGATAATGCTAGTAGTAATAGTAGTAGTAGTAGTAGTAGTAGTAGTAGTAGTAGTAGTAGTAGTAGTAGTAGTATGGTAGTAGGATAATGATAATAAAATTAATTGTGTAAAACACTTTAACAAATGTTGACATAAATCAGCGAAAAAGACGGAAAAATACATGTAATTGTCTAACAATCTATAAAAGCAAAATGCTTTAGCACGATCGTTACGACTAAGCATACACAAGGGAGCACTACTGCTATAACAAATGGAATCCCTCGATGTCCAATTGAGCGATTGTTTAAGCGATTAGCACTGCCAGCACTTGAGATGCTGCGGCCACTATATAATATGCAAAATTCCAAGATCTTTTTACAACGAAATATTTGAATATTCGACGACGAAAATAATTAATGTATTTTATGTAATCGATACCATCGAAGTAATAAGTATTTGAGCAAAACATTCATTTATCGATGACCGTCAAGCTAATGTAAGACAAATTTTCAAAAAATATATTTTAATCTAACATCATATTGTACGTATAATTCTTAAAGAAACAAAATCAATTTTATTGCTTTATCTGGCAAAAATTGTTTGCTTATTACTTATATAAGTATGTAGCTCGCCAAAAAGTATATCACGTAAAGATATTCAATTCTTATATTCTTCAATTTTTAATCACAATCTTATTTACTAAAATATTGACTTGCTCCCATAGTTATATATAATACAATTTAAACATTTCACTAAAAACAATTTGCTAATGAAAACAATCTTTGATTGAAGTATCATTATAATGGCAGATAATAATTTAGTAAAAAATCAATAATCAATAATATTGAATTTATTTCACAAGTTATTGCATTGGATTTAATAAAAGGTAATAAATGTTTTAAAATACTATATGAACAATTGTGTCGAAAACTTTTAAAACTGAATTTCTGTTCAAGAATATATATAGAGGAAATTCATCGATCCTATTATAGATGAAGTATGAAATACTTTCAAATACATTGCACTCTATAAAAAAAAAAAAAAAAAAAAAAAAAAAAAAAAAAACATAAATTTCTTTTAGAATTAGTTGTATAACAGAATTTCGATAGAAATTTATAAACAAGTATAAAAGAAATAAATTCAATATTAAAAAAAATCAATATTATAATATTTATCATAATGAATCATTAATAAATTAATAAATTATTTTGAATTTGTATTTAATCTTTGACTATAAATGATTTTCATTTGAATTTGTGCAAAATGCACTTTACAAAAAATGTAAAACAAACGCGAAACTGTGATTTGTTACGAAAAAATATGAATTCTAAAATCCATATTCAAATTTGAAATTCTTACTTTTCCTATCGTACCTGTCGCAAACATTATTATTCATTACCTCGATTGCAAAAAAATTTGTTATCCAATGAATTCTTAAGATAAATAATTTTTCAATATAAAAATAAATCTCGCTTAAATGAATAATGAAAAATAACTTCAATATTTTCTTTTTCAACTTGACATATTCAATATTGCGTAATGATAAATAATGTAATACAATAATGAAAAAAATTTTTCAGCATGAAAATGATTTATCTAAATGATTTTAAGCATTGCTTAGTTATCACAATGAGAATTTTAAGTAAATAGTAAAAGAAAAATTACAAATTACAGTAATACGTCTCATGCTCTTACGAAGCAATATCAACCTTTTCAATAACTAATAACCGAGTTCCAATGAAACGAGGAATCTATAGATATATGCAAAATTTAATTATCTTTACTTTTTCAGTATTTTTATTACAAAGTATAGCTTATTATATTGATTTTTTAAAAAGACGATAGTATCATACAGTTTCCTTTCCATGTTGCAAAGCTGAGAATGTTGAATTTTAACGAAGGCAATATTTTAAGTAATATCCACCATCGCAATATCACTACATAAGAGTTCTTTAAAAAATATAAGCAGCATGTAGATTCGGAATTTCGATTAAACCGAGGCATTTATTTGACTCGATATATTCTTATAGTCTCGTTACAATAAATTGCATGATGATAATGAAATTCGCGTACTTGGTAATTATACTTTAGTATTTTACGAAGCGAATAAATATACTTTTTAAAGCTTCAGACCGTTTATAGAAGTACCATATTCGCTCAGCAGATTACAACAGTATAAAATGAACGAAAAAATAAATACTTTCTCCGATGAAAAAAAAATAAAAAAAAAAAATAATAAAAAAAAACAAAGCAACTTGACTAGCTACTCAGGATCACCTAATATTTAAGATTAGAAATATTTGTAAATAGTCGTTGATAAGTGAGTGTAAAATTTACATAAGAATATAGATGAGAATTTTTAATTATGATACGCGAAGACACCATAATTGATAGATTTCCACGTGTCGTCTCCAGAATTTCTACAAGTGAAAGTTGAGACAAGAGTTAAGTAACTTAAGAATTCTGGTCATTCTCATACATGTAGAAAGTACTGTACAACGTCATTATTGATCTTATCCATAACTAATTACCGCTACGGATATTCAGGTTTCGATTAAAAATACGATCCATCTTGAAAACATAAGCTACTGATCGTGAAATAAAAAAACTGTCAACTTGCCAAGGCTGATCAGGCAGTCATTCGGATATCACGAAATCAATTAACAAGCAGTTTGATATTATTCAGGCTAAGTACTGCACGCATACAAGTAGATAGTTTTCGGTCATATATTTGACTTATCGTGTGACTTTTCCATCACCTATCATTAATTCTGACAATATTAAATGTCACATTGTCGTAAAAAAAATCCATCTATTTACCCTTCCCCTGCCCACAGCTGTTTCTTCTCTCACACGCACACGCACACTCTCTCTCTCTCTCTCTCTCTCTCTCTCTCAGTCTTATATATATATATATATATATATATATATATATATATTAATGCAACTACGTCACTACTTGGTGAGCTGCAATAGACAATTGAATGATCGCGCTAACAAATTCCATTTACTCCAAGAAGTGAGCGATTTATCGATAACTTTTTGCATGTATGCCAACTAGCCAGAATACTCAGCTATTTACTTTCAGTACTGTAAAAAATGAATTTTAGCTTTGCATAAGATCTCTATAAATAGCGTATACTAGGCTCAATATTAAATTCCTCACTTTTTCAAAAACTCGGCGCCTACGCGTTGCTATTATCGTCGTTGTGCAATTACGCGTACAAATTTAATCATCGCTCAAAGATAATTCACTTAAATAGCATGATTGTTATAAGAAAAGAGAAAATAAAAAAGCGTCACTTCCTTTATTTACGACTTAGATAAAGATTCCATAAACAATTAATGCTCCGTGTACATTCTTTGTAGCTTGGAAGAGTCGAATCTCGCAGAGATTTTACTTTGCGAACAGAGGTTATGTTACCTAAAGGTCAATCGACCGTTCATTCTCTATCACATAACGTGCAATTTCAAAATTATTAAAAACTCGAAAAATTAGTAACAACGTTACTCCGAATAAACAGAAAAGATTATGCACGAGGGCAACAGTAAAGAATTGAGTGTTAATATAAACAGGAAAAGCATCGAGTCCGAGGGAATAATGTTGTAAGCGGCAAGTCCTTGGAAAGCTTAGGAAAAATGCTAATCAGCTACTCGACGACGTTTGGCACAAGAGCAATGAGCGCCGAGCCGACAGTACGCGATGAAGTAAAACTTGAAATTCTCGGCGATCCAAATTTTGCATTATTACGTCGCGTGTCGTCATTGCAGAATCTCGGTATGTCTATAGCTAGAGGGAGAGAGCGAGAAGAGGCAAGAGATAAAAGAGGAACAGGAATAGGAAAGCCCGCGCACTTCCTCCGCTTCGTTGCAATCATAGGGATCCCCAACTGCACTCTATCATCTCTCCTCTCTCAGCATATACAAATTCATGAAAATTCGTTATTACATCACACGTGCATCATCTATACTCCACCCAACTATAATACGCACTTACGAATTTGTGGGCTCGAAGCTGTGTCTTCCAACGACGAAGAAAAAACAAACTCGATTACGTACCTCCTTAGGGATCGTCTGACACTGCACTAACGAAACACCCAGTGACCGTAACGGGATGTATGAGTGTTCAATTATTTTGATGGCTATCGAAGACTTGATATAATAACTGAACTGAAGCCGATTATTAGTTAAAACTCTGACTCCGGCAGAGGAACACAAATGATGAAGACGTGAGAGCGAGTCAGCGAAATAGGCCCGAACAAATGCTTTCAGCGCTTTCAGGATATTAAATTACAGCGTATCCGACATCTTTCAGCATTTGTACGAAGCATATGCCCGTCGTGTCGGTAATATAGGCATCTAATTACCACGAATACACATTCCTCTAATAGAAATATTTACCGAGTATCGCCAACCCTCCGCCCCCGCCACGAGCAATCGCTACTTATAGCATTACACGTAACATTAAATATGCTAATTAAATAATTATTTCATTCATAATATTCCTTATAAATATATATATATATATATATATATATATATTAAAATATAACTATATGTGCTTATGTATATGAATATATATTTCATTACAGCGATTAAAAAATTAATAAATTTTCATATTTCCCCGATATTATTGTTATAATTATAAATACAATATAAGATTTATCATTACGATTGTAGTTGTTCCAACAGAAAATTTTTGTTGAAACGAATCAAAGCTACTGGCGATAGAAACATAAATATTGATTCATGCAATTCGTCTATTCAAATAAGTTATAAAATATAAATTTTTTTTTGTATTTTTTTTTTTTTTTCTAAAATAATATCTCTACTGGTGTTTATACTTTATAATGACATGTGTCTCAATGCATTATGTATAAAACACGTTATTGACACTTCCTTATAACTTTTCGAATCTTGTAACAACGCTTAAAAAAAATTTAAAACAAAAACAAAAAATAATAAAAATGTAGAAATATGTAGAATATCTATAATAAGCATAAAACTTTTATTAAAGAATGCTTAGTTCATAAGATACGATTTTATACATATATTTGCTTCGATAATTTGTATATATTTTTAATTTCAAAATTTTTTTTTAATACAAAATAATATAGTTATTATAATACACGGTGGCATCCGTATTTAAAAATTGTTCCTATACAAATTATATAAATAATAAATCAAATTTTCATAAATTGAAAAACCAATTGACAATAATTATATAACAATAGTAAAAAAAAAAAAAAAAAAAGAAGAAAAAAAAAAGAAAAAAAAATCATCTGAGTTTAAAGTGGCAAATATTTGGCTTATTCAATAATAAATGGCCGATTTATTCATAAAAATATATTTAAAAATTATTTGTCCTATTTCTTATTACATTTAATATACACTTAATCTATATTTTGTCATATATCATAAGACATACGTAATGCTTATAATTTGAACTATCAATAAATTATTCTAATAATATAAATTACTTTTAAATCAAACACTTACATTTTTAATTCTCCATCTCGTGCCTTTAATATATATATATATATATATATATATATATATATATATATATATAAAAGATTATATTTGCAACGAACTTTATAATTAATTTATTAATTTATTATTATTATTAATTTATATTATTAATTGATTTGTTAAAATGAAAAAAAAAGTAGAAATTATTTTAACTGAATATTTTGTTATTCATGAAACTTGTATTTTCATCGTCGTTTGAATACTCTAAATCAACGAAAACATATTTAAAATAAAAATACAAAAAAAAAAAATTTTAATTAAATATATTTTTAAACGAGATAAAATTGAAGAAGAAAAAATAACAAGCTCTTTAAATTATGCAGCTATGCTAAATTTAAAAAATACCAGCACTAGCCAATTAGTACAATAATAAAAATGCATATACAAATTTATATAAAGTACTTTTTTAATAGATAAATTATTAAAAATACTTTACTTTCGATTAGTCCCTGAAAACTTTACTCTGACATTCTCAATAGCAAAAGCTGACAAAGACATTGCACAATTTTTACATATTATCTATGTTTGAATTAAACCATCCGTATTATTGTTTAGTTGTACAGACATTGAAAAATAATAAAACTATCGAGTTTTATAAGGCAATGAAATGCAAAATATACAATTTTTTCATACTTACGTATGTCGAAATAGAAATAAATTACGCATACTAAAGTTTAATCATAAATTAAAGAATATAAATGTTTGTAGTAATTCTTTATTTAATGTGTAATGATAATGGTGAAGATTGTATTTAAATGTGTTTAATTATGTTAAAATATGTTAAAATTAATTTTTGACATAATTGTCCTTATGAAATAAAGAAATGTGTAAAATTTACATGATTCCGTCTGTCAGGTCGGTTATTAAAAGCTAAATCTACTATAGCTCACATTTCTGTAATAAATAGATAATAATACCATAAGCACTCGCTTCAAAGTATTTATTTCAATAACAGAGCTGCATATACATTTTAAATCATAAGTCTTAATATATAAATCCTTATAATTATACAATTGACATTTAAGAGAATAATTCATTTCTTAATACGTGAATTAAGATCGTATCGAGAGATATAGAGTTTAAATTGGTCATTAATATTATCAATTATAGCAACGTCACCACGTCACAAATCTCATGGAGATTTGAATTATTATTTGAGAAATGTGTATTCTCGATTCAAATAGCCGCATGTCATGTCATTTTAGTGGCTTAAGTAAACTTATGGGCGCATCCGGTATTATAATAATTCACGTCGCATAAGAGTATAAATATTATAAAATAAAAATAGAGAAAATATTGCGACTGTGCCTGTTGAGATATTTAGCTTAAGAATAGTTGGTAAAAATATTATATCATAATTAAGAATACATAAAGCTAAATAGCTTGTATGAAAATTAAAAAAAAAAAAAAAAAAAAAAAAAAAAAAAAAAAAAAAAAAAAAAAAAGAAAAACTAACGGTTAATATCGATAATAAAGTAATAAAAAATATGATCGAGAGAATAGATGACAATTTTTTATATAAAGTAACATTATTTATTTTGAATGGCCCGTACGGCCGATAAGATCTTAATTTACAACAGCTTACAGGAATACGCGATCTTAACATTGATATATCCTTGCACTCGCGGCTCTATCTTGTCAATCATTTTTACCACATTACGAGATAAAGATAAACATTTTTGGGATGAGGAGGGTACGATTTGAGTGGTGAATTAATAAAACACGAGAATGAAGCAATGCGTATAGTCATAGGCTTCGCAAGTTGCACGCGCGCGCGCACACACAAAAATTTCTAACGGCGTAACGTCTGCACCGTCATGACACGGCGCTTATAAAGCATCTATTATCGCCAAGCTAAGATATTATATACATGCATACTAAAGATAGAAGTTATATTATATGCGAACGATGTTCAATAAGTGGCAGTGTGCGTGAATTGCTCGCGGCTCTCGTGGTCGAAGTATTCAGGGCAAGCTTAGCGACGCAGCTGTTTACAACTTAACCTCGAACTGCTTCGAATCTGACTTCTGCTGATGGGCTGACAGAACGTCGGGACGCGAGAGTGACGTCGCTCGCTAAGATTTTTGGCCTCCGAGATCGAAGCACCCGGGCGAGAGAGCTACGGCCTACGGGCACCGACGTATCACTTTTCATGATACGATCCACACATACAACCATGTAGTGACAATATAACTCTCGATCCGCGAAGCCGCGGATTCGCGAATATCACCCGCGACATCCGACTCCCCAACATCCTAACTTAGCCATCCTCTATTGCTATTCCTTACGCCTCCTCGCGGGGGCTCGCTTTCTTTTCCTACATATTACGATAATCATCATTTAAAGAAGGCTATTTGGCTGCGTTATTTTCTACTACAAATTTATATATACATATATGCATACATATATACATACATGCATGTATATATATATATATATATATATATATATATATATATGCATATATGCGCATATATATATTTAATCTCTTCATCGAATACGCTTCGACTCATTTCGACCGTTCCGCCTCTTTCAACATAACATAACACGGTTTTCCACATGAAAGTACAAGGTAAGATTAATTATGTTGCATTTTCCGTTAATGGAGATAGATATATATATATATATATATATATATATATATATATATATATATATATGCTCTATAATGAAATTCAAAAAGTTCAAAAATTACAATTGCTTGTGAACCAAAAACCTTGTGTTTTCTATCAAATCGTTCATCTGCCCATTAAGACACCTTTTTTGTGTACATATTCAGTCATTGAAAATACAAGTCATTTGGCTCGTTCTTACAATCGTTAATTTAAAGATTTTGTCATAAAAATTCAAATACAAGAGTATTTTCATGCATGTATAATTACGAAATTTACACATATCATTTACAATTACAAAGACTGTGTGCAGATTTTGCAAAATGTTCAATAAAAACATTATAAAAGAACAGCTTAACTATCTAATTATTATTAAATATTATTAATATAAACTGTGATAGATATGATTAATTCATTTTTAACTTCTGTTTAAGGCAGTTAGTTGTATATATTTGTAGCTAACAGAATTTTTAAATTAAAAATATCTAACAATGGCTGATAATAATGAAATTTTGAATTATCAAAATATGAACATTTTTTTGTCAGGTAAACAAATATTTCTAAAATCAAAATAAAAACTTTATATGATTATAAAAGAAAAACAAGCATGCATTTTTCTATAATTGTGTAAGTTCTCCTTAGTTCAATATCATTTTCACAAAAGAGCATAAGAAATATGAGTACTCTCTAAAGAATCCAAATATATCCGTGCATGTGTGTAAGTATATGTAAATATATATGCATATGCATACACACACACACACGCGCGCGCGCACACACGCATATACACACACACACACACACACACATCTATATGTATATAAAATTTCTGTTGTAGGTATTGTTTTATTATCAACTTGGAATAATGAAAAATGAAAGAAATTCAGAGGGAGCAGAATTTTATAAAAAGAGGCAAAAGTAAGCTGGCTTGCATAAGGCAATATCGGAACCAAGATTCAGATTTCAAAAATGAGCAACTCAATGAAGCCAGTATCGACGCAGTCAGGCACGATAAAATCAAACAATGATGAAATGGTAGGCCAGTCAAAATAATAACAATCGCAATCTTTAATATTATAAAGCATTTGTGTTTAGGAAAAGATACCGTCATCGTCGCCTAAAAGATCTGACACTCTAACAAATTCGCAAAGAATATGGACAAGTCTTGCAGCAGGAGCTATTGCCGGAGGAGCAGCTAAGACCTCGATAGCACCTCTCGATAGAACAAAAATCAATTTTCAAACGTCTCAACAACCCTTTTCAACCAAAGCTGTATTAGATTTTCTTATTAAATCATATCAAAAGGATGGATTGCTTAGTCTTTGGCGAGGCAACAGTGCTACTATGGTTAGAATTGTACCATATGCTGCAATTCAGTTTACAGCATATGAACAATGGAAACGAATTCTTAAAGTTGATGAAACTGATGTGTAATTTTTTTGTTTTTTTTTAATACATGAAAATACACTTCATCATGTGTCATTGCATACTTATGATGGAATTTTAATTTTTAGTGGCGATGAAAGAAGATTTATTGCCGGTGCAATAGCTGGTTTAATATCCCAAGCTATGACTTATCCTTTGGATTTAGCACGAGCTCAAATGGCAGTTACTCAAAAGGATGAATACAAAACTCTGCGCCAAGTTTTCACTCAGATTTATAAAAAGGACGGTTTAGTAGCTTTCTATAGGGGATTCACTCCAACGATACTCGGTGTTGTACCGTACGCAGGCTGCAGCTTTTTCTTCTATGATACACTTAAAAATATACTTACAAGTATGATTAATTAATTTTACTCATTTTAATATATAGAATTTTGTTCTTAATCATTGTTAATGTTAATTGCAGTATATACAGTGAATAGCCCTGCGCTATCCGCAATGACTGGCCTAATGTCTGGAGCTATAGCTGGAATGATTGGCCAAGCAAGCAGTTATCCCTTGGACATTGTTCGCAGAAGAATGCAGACTTCTGCTGTTAAGAATCAACAATCCCTTGGGATTATCAAAATGACTATGAAAATTTATGGGTAAATAAAATTTTTTCACACATTTGTTATATAAAAATGAGATGATACACGATAATATGATATATTTTTATTATTCAGGGAAGATGGTATTATGTCCTTCTACAAAGGCTTAAGTATGAACTGGGTGAAAGGCCCGATTGCTGTTGGAATCAGTTTTGCCACGTATGATATAATGAAAGATTTTCTTCGTAAAATTTTTTGTTAATTTTGAAACGCAAAGAAAATATTATGATGAAATCCTAACTTACATGATAGGTCATATTGATTATCATTTAAAGTTATGTACATAGGTTGTATAATGACATCGAGGAAATCGTAACAAAGTTTTAATTCAATGTTATCAAATTTTAGCTACTTACGAAATAATATTAATTTTAATTAGTTTATTAATTGAAAATATCTAAAGTCAGGGCAAATTTTGAGTAAAGTTTTCCTTAAATTCTTGTATTTTAAAGAAATTAAAACATTTTTTATGTTAATTGATGAAATATAATACACAAATATATATTTACAAATATATACAATTTTATTGAATGATGTTAAAAGCATATATTTTTCTAACTTTTCATAAGTAATTTTTTTTTATGTTTTAAAGATTGTTAATTTTTTGTCTATAAAAATAGAATATTTATAAATGAATTATGTACATATACTAGTAAATATGAAATAATTCTTAAATACTCGTTTTATACAGATTGATTTATATATAAAGAATTGTTAATTGTGTGTATGTGTGTATCTATGGATGTATAATAGTAGGTATCTATAAGCTGTTAAAGGCATTGTTGTTTATTGTTAAAAAAGTTTGAGTGTCTGGTCCATTCGATCGAGAGAAAAAAGGCTTTTTATCTCTACTTAACATTTTTTACTTTTTTATTTGTACAAAGATGTTAAATAAAACTTCGAATCCAGACGTATTAAATAAAAATAAATTTTATTTATTGATAAATAAGGATCTTGAGAAATATTTAAAATGATTCGATATATAACTGTACTATATTTTATTATAATTTAAGTATAGATTAATTTTATATATAATATACAATATTGACAATAATTTAAAAAGAATTTCTTCATAATGACATACTGATTTTTTATTCTGATAAGTGATCCAATAAATTATCTTACTTTAAATAAATTGCATAAACTTGTAAATTACGTTCTTTACAATTTTGTATATTGTCTAATACTGACTAATCCCTGAAAAATGTACTTTTAACATACATATATAAGTACATTTTATGTTAGAAATTTAAAAGAAAAACATTGAAATCCATGATTAAAACTGATTTTAATATTTGTTTTCATAAATTGTAATTAATTGCTAAAAAATAAAAATGTTGAAATTTATAAATAAATTAATGTATTTCTTTTTACACAATCATCACATTATACTCTCTTAATTCGCGAACGAAGTTACATCGATATACTAAATATTTATATCATTAATTTTAAAAACATTCTTGCATACGAAAACTTTTTACACTAAATGGTAAATGATGTTATGAGGCATTTACTTGACAAAGTTAAGTAACAACCTTCTTTCTCGATATAATATTTGTTTCGACAATTGTTTTAGTCTTTGTTTTATTTTGGTTTAGTTTCTTGATCATTTACATATCTTATGTAAATTTCTCTTTCATCATTACCACCAGCTGGAATTTCAGCTTCATTGAGATATGAAACTCCTATTGCTAGAACTGAACCGTCTTGGCTAAAGCTCAATGCTGCAACGCCAGCATTATAACGATGAAATTGACACAATCTTTTCTTATTAAACCCGTCCCAAATATTGACATATCCATCCGATCCACCAGTTGCAAACGTATTATATCCCGAGTGAAAGCTGATCGCATTTACTGGATATATATGTTCCACGTTGTTTTCTTTTATTCTATGACATTTGAATGCATATTTCTTCTTTTGAGCTTCAGGTGTTGTATCTAAGTATTCCACTGCAACGCGGCCTTCTATACTACTTAGAACATACCCCTAAACATTACATTAACCATTTAATAACTAAAAAGTTAAAATTTTCTTATAATTCGAAAGAAAAATATCATACCTGTTCATTCGGGAAGCCTTTAATACATCTAGTTTGATATTTTAAACTACTTTCTCGTCTTTGGAACATACCCGCCATATTTCTTAAGTCCCAAATACAGACTTTCCTTTTAGCTGTGCCAACGACAAACTTATCTCCACAAACAGAAAGAGCCAAGACTACATCTGGCTGAAGATAACTTCCAACGCAAGTCGGTGTTCTCGGATCCCATAGCTTTACCGCTGCATCCCAGCCACCCGTTAATATTGCATTTACAGCAGAGCAGTATTCAATTTTTCTAATTGGCTGTTCGTGCGTACCCATCGCAGTTTCTTTATTGACATAATGGGCACATTAAAAAATTGTCAGTAAAACAATATATTTACGTAATAACAATTAGCATAATAAATATAAAAATATAACAAATAATAATAACATAATAAATACCTGTGTTTGTATTAATATCATACATTTTTAAAGTATTGCCTAGGCCACCACTATACGCATGAACGGCATCCTAAGTGCAACATAATTAAAAATAAATCCCATATAACATTTTTATAATCTTATTTAATTGTATACACACTTGAAATGCTATATCTAATACTGGAAGATCATGGTTATATTTTAACCTCATCGTATTTGTTTGTATATCATACAAGCGAACAGTACTATCCCACGAAGAGACAAGTAAAAATTGTGTAGAATTTGGTCCAAATTCAACAGCCGAAACGGCATCCGTTGGAGGATTCTTAAGTTTAAATTCTGTTCGTGACTCCATTATACTTAAGATAAAATAATATAGAAATTATTATTAATAATAATTATTTTTTGGTAATGAAGATGAAAGTATAACCTCATAAATGAAAGTACAAACCCTTTTTAAACAGTACTGTTTAATGAATAAATCGAACAAACGCCGTTACGAAAAGCAATATAAATTCTATATAAGTACTAATCAGTCTTATAGGTCGAAAAATAAAATATATAAAATTATGAATAATTCAAAAAACAAATCTACCCGGTTCTTGTATTATCATACATAAAGTCGAAGAGAAAACTAGAAAACTATAGAGACGCCGCCAACCGATCAACGTTCAACAACGAAAGTATGAATAGTTATTGGGACCATACACGAGCAGAGAATAAATATTCTTTAGTACATAGCCAATTCTGCTTTTTTACTATATAGTTTTTTATACAGATTATACGGATTTTTTACTATACACTACTACCATTGATACACATTTTTACGTATATAATAGGCAAAGTTTGGCCAAGTTAAGGCAACTTAACCAACTGGTTTATAGGAACTATTAAAATTTATAACTTAATGAATCTACTTGGCAATTTGGCCTAAGCTATTCAAATTTCTCATTGGCAATACTACAAAATCTTTTACAAGTAAATTTCTTTTAAGAATATTATAAGCGAATGGAAACTTTTTCTTTTCTTTTTTTTTTCCCTTTTTTTTCTCTCTCTTTTTTTTCTTTTTATTAATTTTTATACAATTAACTTTCTGCAATTATGGCTTATTATATTAAATTTTAGAAACGCCTTTAGAAAAAATACATTAATTTTATATTAAATTTCGAATAAATTTTATGTAATGCGTAAAAAAATGTATGAACAATAAATTAAGAAAGCTGTGAACAACATTCTGTAATGGTCAAATATTTTATTCTAAGCGAAGCATTTCTAACATTTTTTCAAATCACTCTTTTGCAACATGTTGATTAAGTTTTAAACTTTCTATTTAATATATAATTATATGAATGGCAAAAATGTTATTTTTATTATAAATTCATTACAAATAATCCATTTTACTATCTTCCGCTTAAAAATCTTGTTCACCTTCACCAAAGCTGATTCACAAGAATAATTCTTGCATAGTAAATAATTTTTTACTTCGTATAACTGAATTATTTTAGACAAAGCATTCCAATGATTAAATTTATTGATTATGAAAACAAAAAAACAACAAAAAAACAAAAAAACATTAAATTTATTGATTATGAAAACAAAAAAAAAACAAAAAAACAAAAAAACAAAAAAAAAAAAACAGAGTATAATTGAAACAAAATATATTAATCTCACGAACATTAAATATTCAGTCTGTACAATATATATAATAGATTCTCACACAATTCATTTTCATTGCCAATTTAAAAAATATTTTTTTTCTCAACTTTTTAACGATTAAGTTGCCTGTCTCTATGAAATAGAGTTTCGATATTAAATATTATTGCAAAACTGTAAAATGAAAAAAAAATTAAGAAAAACAAAATTAATTTACTATTTATTCAAGCAGTTGTTGTAAAAACATTAATAATTAAAAGTAATTAGGATAATTTTTATTTTGTTAATTCAAGCTTTGTATAATTAAACAAAACAAATAATTAAACAAGACAAAAATATATTTGATAATAATTAGAATAGCATAGTGACTTAAATAAAATTACATAAATATAATCATTTGTCTTGTAAATGCAAAGTAATAAATGAGATTGCGCGCGTTTCTCTAAGAAATTACTTAGACGAAAATCAATTTAATCTTTGCTGTTGAATTATGAATAACGAAATATTTTTAATATTTAATAAATTCAATATTTTCTATTAATGTACTGAGAATTTCAATATTTCTAATCTATTGAAATATTTTTTATTTTATTTTATTTTATTTTATTTTATTTTATTTTATTTTATTTTATTTTTTTTTTTTTTTTTTTTTTTTTTTTTTTTTTTTGATAACACTGAATATTTGGTGGGGATCGAAATGACAGATATATTTAGATAAAAATAATAAAAACTTTACGATAAGAATTTAATGGTTCATTATCTATAAGAAACGAGTGGCAAATTATACTTTATATATTCGAAAAGGAAGTTCCTCACATTCTCTTAAAACCATAAAGTAGTGAAGTTCTAGCTGAGAATTAGCTAAATCATAAGTGAATGAAATAAAAGTAGAATTATAGTTTGCATATAAAAATGTTAAAATTTCTAGATAATATGGTAGAGCACGTATTACTGCATTACCGTTGGTTTTTCGTCGTTTTTTTCTTGTTGCCGCTTTCAGTTATCTATGAGATTTATAGTCTTGCGAGAAACTGGCTAATTTTTAAATTGAATACGGCTCCACAGCAGCATGAAAAACGAGTGAAAATTATTCAGCGCCAAGTTAAAGAATGGAAAGCCAAATTTAGCAATCGGCAAATGTGTACTGCGCGTCCGGGTTGGCAAACGATGAGTTTCCGGCAAGGCCGATATAAATCCTCCATGTTCAATGTTCGTATTGGTATGTACGATATTCTCGAGGTCAATGTGGATGAAAAGGTTGGAATTTCTATGCCACTAATACTTAAAAATCTTTCAACTATTTATTATATAATATTTACGCACGTGTTTAGTACGTAAGGGTCGAGCCTATGGTAACAATGGGTCAACTTTCCAGAACGTTAAATCAACTCGGATGGACGATCCCCGTACTTCCGGAGATCGATGATCTTACAGTTGGTATGATAAATAATATAAGCGATCAATTTATAAACGTATCATACGCTTTCATTCGTTTTTTATCATTTATTTTCTTTACAATTTCATTCACTCGTTTACATATTAAAATTATTACACGCTTTTCCGGTACATTCATACATCACGTTTATCTAACGTGTTAATTTAAAAAAATGCCCAAAAAAAATATTTGCCCCACTTATTCTAGATTCTTCATTGGCAATTATGTCATAGATTTGATAGTCCATTGGCTTTCAAACAAAAGCATATACTATTTTTTATTATTGAAGCTCAAACGAATTATACTCAGACAATCCATAAAAATACTTACCATTAGAGACGCGTTACCAAGACTAAAAGATCGTCCGATTTTTAAGGATAAATTAGATTAATCTTATTTTCATTATGGCCAAATTTAATATTGAAATACGTACTAGCAAACATCGTCACAAACATCGTCAATATCTGAAAACATTACAGGTGGTCTGATAATGGGCACGGGCGTCGAGACCAGCTCCCACAAGTACGGACTTTTCCAGCACACCTGTCGCGCCTTCGAGGTCGTACTGTGCGATGGTTCGGTGGTAAAATGCAGCCGTACGGATAATGTGGAGCTTTTCCATGCGATACCTTGGTCTCACGGGACGATTGGCTTCCTACTCGCGGCCGACATCGACATCGTACCCGCGCGCAAACTCGTCAAGCTCCATTACCAACCCGTGCACAACCTGAAGAAAGCCATCCAAGTCTTTAAGAAAGCGAGCTACGATACGAGCAATGACTTCGTCGAGGCCATTATGTTCTCGCTGGATGATGGTGTCGTTATGACAGGTTACGCGTCCATCCATCAATATCCAACTGCCTGAACACTAAGTCGTCAAAGCTTTCATAATTAGTCTTTGCCCTAAGTTATATACTTGTAATGATTAAGAGGACTTAAACTTATAATTGATATTTTAATAGAAATTCAGATATTTTTTATATTAAGACTAGCCGCTTAATTTTTTTTTTTTTTTTTTTTTTTATTTAAATGTTGTATTTAAGGGAAAATGATATTGCCAAAAATGACCGTTATTGATGAATTTTATTTAATTTAGTTGTTGTTTTTTTTTTTTTTTTTTTTTTTAATTTACTTTTGCACTGTATAATTTATAAATAATTATCCTTTATTTTATGTTAATTTATATCAATACACTTTGCTAGCTGATAAATTTACTTTGAAAACTGACAAACTATTTACATAAACTGAATTACAATTTTACTGTTTTACAATATCGTCGTGACTCTTTTTTGTTAGGTAAACGGACAACGCTAAATCCTATTCACTCGTATCACTGTCCAAATAAATAATCTACTAAATTTAATATATAATTACAGGTGTCATGGTAGATGCAGACAATTGTACAAAAACTAATGAGATTGGACGCTGGTACAAGCCGTGGTTTTTTAAGCACGTCGAGAGCAAACTTTATAAAGATATGAAATACCTTACCGAATATATACCGCTTCGTCACTATTATCATCGACATACCCGTTCACTATTTTGGGAACTCCAAAATATTGTCCCTTTCGGAAATAATTTCCTATTTAGATTACTTTTAGGATGGACAATGCCACCTAAAGTTTCTCTCCTAAAATTGACGCAAACCAAGTCGATAAAGAAACTTTATGAAACACAGCACATCATCCAAGACATGCTCATTCCTATTGAAAAACTCGAGGATGCCATTATAATGTTTAATAAGAAGGTTGAGGTTTGTGTGTGTCTTTCTTTCTTTCTTTTTTTTTTCTTTTCTTTTTTTTTTTTTATCTTCATTATAATTTTAATACTCTATAATCTATTTCATCGTAACAACACCAGCACTAATAATTACGAAATACTCTTATCTTACGTATACTTGGTTGTTATTATTATTTTTTTTTTTTATAAATAAGATAATTCTGTAATAGCTTATTAACGAATGTAAATAATACAGGTTTATCCTCTATGGTTATGCCCATTTAAACTAACGGACGATCCTGGCTTCGTTCACTCGCACCAATCCTCCAGCGAAATGTACGTGGATGTCGGAGTTTATGGAATTCCAGGCACACGCGATTACGAAGCCACACGTACGACTCGAGAAATCGAGAAATTCGTCAGTGACGTTCACGGCTACCAGATGCTTTACGCAGACACATATACGACGAGAGACGAATTCCGAAAGATGTTCGATCATACGCTTTATGATAAAATGCGCAAGAGCCTCAATTGCGAGAAAGCTTTCTCGGAAGTCTACGACAAGGTCAATAAAAACGCGAGAATTTAAATGTCAAATTTCCTCTTGATATATATATATATATATATATATATATATATATATATATATACTAATTACACTGCTCACTGTACGAAAATTGCAATTATAATAAAAACGTATTAATGAAAAACATTTAAATATTGATAACGTGCGACATTCATTTCTATGTGTATCAACAGGTGGACCTTAATTCATGATTTTTAATTGGATTTAATTTGCAGTTGATAGAATGTTAACGTTATCACAATCACATTACTTTAGAAATTGCCGCTCGTAATTCTCAATTTATTTTTGCATAATTTTTTTTCTTCTATAATTGTGTCAGTATAGTTATATCTGCTTTAATTATTAAATTGAAAGGCGCAGTTGCTTTCTTATCGAGAGATTACCTAGAATTTAAATTAATTGAAACAATGAAATTGCTAATTAAAATTTATATAAAAGTAAAAGTATAAGCCACGGGCGAATCAGGGTACACATATTTCTTACATTACTCATCGTTCCTTTCTTAATACATCAAAATATATGTATTGGTAGACGGTGAAAATTTCATTTACATACAAAATTGAAATAGATTTTCGCATGAGGTATGGAAAATAAATTAGCTACAATATCTTGCATATTCTCGTTAAATGTTTATTATTATGAGAAAAAAAGAATATACTTTCCGTTACTTTAGACCCCGTTACAATTAATAATACTAATGTAGTTAATCGCTTGAGCTATTCGTGTTTAAAGATCCTACAAAATTTATCAAGGAACATTACTACGATTTGTAATTTTTCTTAATTTATTTGTTTAAATAAACAACAATATAAATAATATCAAATTCAGAGTTTTTCATATAAGAATAAATTGTATTCCAAGTCTATATTTACACGTATTAACAAAGCACAGATGTTTTATATGTAGAAAATAGATAAACGATTGAATAGACATTATTCTATCACCAAACGGACGCTCCTTTCTTTACGCGAAAAAAATCAATTATATTATATGACAGAGATGATTATTCATCGATAGAGTATATCAATGAATAAAAATATTATTGAAAATTATATTATGGTTTATAATGTGATTGAATGATATTGAGAAAGATATATTCAAGAATTTCCTAAAATTTTGCTTTTATATCGCGGAAATTCTAATATTACACATTACAGTTTTAGCTACTATTAACGATAAGCTATCGCCAATTGTACTTTGGATGCTTCAAAATAATACAATAAACGAATGAAATAAAATTGCCTGCTTATTGTGCAAACTGGAAGATAATCTTGCGTTGTCAATCAATAATATTAGTAATTGTAGTCCAGTAAAATCTAGTGTTTCATTTAATTATGATGCGGGAAACCACTTGAGCATAATAAACGATGCTAGCATAATTGGAATATATGTATGGACTGGTGGTAGTAAAAATTAAACGGTGCCTCTTATTAAATTCATCCATTGAGATTATTATAGAATCATTTAATTTTCATTTCATAATAAATACTTTTGTTTTTAGAGAGTAATTTTCATAAATTGTTCACAAATGGTTTATAAATATACCACAATTCATGTCTTTCAGCTTCATCAGTGTGGCGCAATTTAAGAGTAAATAGGTATTTAAAGTCAAAATATGTATTTTTCATCTACGTAAAGCGTGAGTTACGTGTTAAGCTAATGAAAGCCTCGATTATTCTGCGGGTATTTGAACAAAATTTTATAGAATAATTCATCGATGAATTTTCACTTCATTGATAATTTACTTATACCTATACCAACTACCAATGCCAAAAATACCACTATTAAATCAAATATGGGAAATTTTTGCAGATACCGTAAGAGATAATTTCTATACGATAAAGACTACGATTTTTATACTAAAATAACTTCGTAAATTTTTCAAAATATAATTCCGATACAGTCAAAAATTCAAATACATTCCCCGACGATGCGGAAATAAAAAATATTAACTACTAACAGTAACATTCATGGTATTTAATTGTACAAATTGCACATGCCGGGAGATTCTTTATTGGCAATAAGTAATTAATGATAGTTTTTACAATATTTACTTTAGTTAACAATTGTTACAATGTACTTACAATTCTAGTTTATAAAAAAAAAAAAAAAAAAAAAAAAAAAAAAAAAAACTTAATTCTTTTGGTCCGCACTGTCGGATTTAAATTCTACTTAAAATTTTGTAAAATTCTATAACAAACGAGGAAATCTCATGCAACAATTTATAGTTTATGAATTTCATTAAAAAACTAAAAAGGTTAATCATATCATAGCCAATATTCTTAGATTCATTAAGATTCATATTATAATATATGTACTTACTGATTAAATAACTACTAAATGTAATTATGAAAGGAAAAGTAGGATCTGAACTTTGGCGATTTAATCCATTTATTGACCCATTTTATTGACTTTCTTCAGCTTCGATTTAACGTTTAAGTTAATGCTTTATTTCAATAAGGGCACATTTTAATTTTTTTTATATCTATTCAGTTTCACCTTGTTCAGACTTTTACAACAGTTGGTAGCAAATATATATCACATCACTTGGTAAAGATGAAAATTTTTTAATCTTGAATAATACAAACTGCAGCCCTATAAATATTTTTTTATGACGCTGTTTCTGATAATTTTAATGATTATTATGATTTGTATGTTGAATCGCGAGTTACCAGTTCGAATGTATTATAAACAGCAATTAAGATCATTAAACGAGTACATAAGAGTGTAAAAATATAATGCCAATATTAATTCGTCTGTGGAGAGTTTGGTGAAAGCATAACAACCAAAACTGGATGGCTTCATATAATATAATTAAGTTATTAAAAAATTCTCGCAATCAATATAGGTTTAAATTTGCAATAAATAGCATTTAAATATATAACATTATAGAATTAAATTTATATGGTTAATAAAGGACGTATCTTATAAATATAGTATTAGCAGTTTTCATTCGCGATCCTTTTACATTTATTTACTTTAAAATATTAAAAAACAATTGAATTTTCAGTTAAATTGAAGAATAAGTTTAATCTTAAAAAAAGAAAAAGAAAAGGAGAATATATCAGACAAAATTCTATTTATTTAATATATTGTAAAATATTTATATATTCATTTTTATATACGTGTTTGGATATGTATGTATTTATAAGTTCTCATTATTGATTTGTGAATATGATAAAGCACTAAAATATCTGAATATGCTCGTGAAAGGATATGAAACGGGATGATATGTAATGAAATAAAATACTCTCTTTAACAAAGAAAACGCATTTATCTAGAAATTTACGCTGTTATATGGAGATTCAACATCTTTCAATACATGTTATCCTTGCAAATTCAGCTTTTATATTATATGTCATTATATATTTTTTTTTAAGATCTTAATTCTAACTTTTCAATTATATAAGTAATATATAATATACATTAATTAATAGTTTGTGGCTTAACTACATACAATTTTTAAAATATATAAAAAATTATTCAAATCATAAAAGACTAGGAAAATGTTTAGAAATCAAGATTCATTAAATCACAAACTATTAATTCATACAAATATTTTTCTAATATTATTTATGAAATAACCACGAGATTTTTGTCAAGAAATTATAAAATAACATTTTTGTCCATATAAAAATAAGGAAAAAGTATAAAAAATGAAAATCACAATTAGCATATAACTTATTGATAATGCTATTTACGCTCGACATCATGACTGTCAAGTAAATACTACGCAAAGTATTGATGATCTTCAATTGATCTTACTCTTTTGGTATATTAATCTCGCTAGCCACTATGTACAAGTGGAATATCTTATCAAATTATTATCAATAAAACCTAAGTAAGAAATTTCCAAAGTTTTCAAATAGCTATCATTTTTTAGATAATTCATATATAATACTAGTGATTTTTTTTTTTTTTTATATAAAAAATGATTCAGACTTTGTTTATGGTTGGGTCTTCAATACTCTAGATTTGTGGACCTTGATGTAAAATTATTTAGTGAAACACATGAAGAAAGATACGAAAACATTCTATAAAGAAATTTATATAAACAAGTATTCTGTCTTCCCAACATAATACGATTCATTTAATGCCTATAAATATTTCGTATTTTTATTATCACCGTATTGCTTTAAAGACTATACAAAAGAAAAAAAAAAAAAAAAAAAAAAAAAAAAAAAGGAAGAAAAATATGGCTTTAACTCGAAAGAAATATTTCAATTTATGCAAATTTTAATTCATTTGCCATTAATATTATCCTAAAATATTATCTAAAAATTTATCTTCGTTTTATCTAATTTATATATTAGCAGATCAATAAGAAGTTTTTTTTTTAATAATTTTATAATAAAATAGCAAAAATTATTAAAAAAAAAAAAAAAAAAAGAAAAAAAAAAATAAAATAAAATAAAGAAAATGAATAAAGAAATATAAGAGAGCTATAAAGTAATTGTATAAATATAACAAAAATGCAAGTGGTGCGTTATAATAGTGCAAATTAAAATAATATAAATATCTGTCATTGTATATAAACTATATATTAATATTTATCTAATAAAGATGAATAGTTTTATAGATAAAGAAAATGTTCATATGTTTCAGTAGATATGCGACATATTTTTTTTTTTTTTTTTTTTTTTTTTTTTTTTTTTTTTTTTTTTTAAGAAACTTACATATTTAAAGAACGTTAACAAACAAATATTTAATAATGAGAAATATTAATAAAATAAGGAAAGTGATACACGTCGTCAGCTTGAAAACTATAGAGTTAATTAATTACGTAGTTTGTTAAAAGTGATCGAGTCGTACGATGACGTGGTCGGATGTTGGATCTGGCAGTTTAACGTTTAACCAATCGGCCTTGGAATTTTCTTCCGTATCTGTGGCTTTCAATGCCAATCGATGAGCCGGCGTGGCCTTGTGAGGAATTCTAAGCTCAACAGGATTTTGGAATTCAAGTCCCTTTGGTCCACACTCCACAAGTGGACTTAGCATAGATTCACCTATCGTTAAACAAATAAAAAATTAATTCTCACGCAAGGCT